GATTTTGAGTATCGGTATTTTGTTGCCGGGATTTTGGGTGTCAGGATTTTGTGTGTCGGGATTCTGATATACAACCAGATTAATAACATGAGCCATACAACGAATATGGCCATGATACTTAATAAAGAAGCTACCAATACTTTTATACTTGACCTCAAATACCTCAAGTAATATATTATTACTTGAGGCATTATCAACGATTATTTCTAAAATTTTGTTAGTAATACCAAACTCATTACAAATACTAACTAAAGTATTTAATATATTGACTCTAGTATATGCTCTATCGAAAGGTACAAGATTGAGAACTTGCGATTCAACCTTTCAATTATTATTGATTCAGTGAGCCATCATATCCAAAAAGGCTTTACAACTCTTATTTGTCCAAAGATCGATAGTAAGAGAAATCTTACTTGAATTATTCATTAAAGTGTTTTTTAGAGAGGTTTTTAGTTCCAAATATCAGTTTAACAAATCTCTTTTAACTGTGCTTACAAAGGAAACTTCAACATCATCCAAAACTTTAATTAATTTAACTAATTCCTGGAAGTTTTCTGATTCAACGATTACAAAGGAAAGACTTTTTGATGCAATCCACTTAACCAATGCTTCTCTAAAAATGCTTTTATTTGACTAAGGAACTATAGATGTAAGATCATTAGAACTATCTGTCTTGGAGATATCAATATAATGAATGTTAGTAATATGATTGCGCATACTAGTGGTGCTACCACAAGTTATAATAAGATATTTGTCATGAGCACACAGACTACATTTGGCCTTTTGCTTGCCATCTTCTTCAAAGGGTGGTTCAAAAAATAACCATACTGGTGCCTTTTTTTAAGTTGGTACATAAGCACGACTAGTAGAAGCTATTTTTTTAAAATATAATTATTTGGTATAATAAATTTATTTAAATTTTTATTTAAAAGAAAATTTGCTAATAAACAAGTTATAGGCTTTTCTATCCTTTTCTCCTATTTATATTTATCCTTTTACTCTAACTATACTAATAGTTTCTTTGCATATAATGATCATATATAATGTTTGCATATAATGATCACACATAACATTCGTGTAAAAAGATCACGTATAAAAAATTAGATCATACAAAATTAATATCATGATTCTCAAAGTTTTAACAGGCCAGATTATAAGAACCAATTGATAAGTTTGTATAACTTTACTATTTTATATATCAAATCCTGTTATCAAAATAAAAATTAAAGTTTAACTTTTTAATAAGAATATTATTTATTTAAATTGTTGCAAAATTTTGTTTTTATTAAAATATAATTACTGAACCTCGATCAAATTTCATATTAAATATCATCAGCAAAAAATATAGGCCGATATATATCGATCAATATCTATGTGGATATATATCGATAATAATCACCCCTGTTGGGTTCTATCGATTGTGATAGTAATCGATATATATCCGGTTAATATTCAATCGATAATTATCGATTATG